TTTAAAGCTAAAAAAAGGTTGATACTAAGTAATTGTTCAAGTCCCTGTAACAAACCAACATTTTCAGTTATAAAACAATACAACTCAGTCAGTTAAGTATTTCTGAATGTGAAAAAGAATTAGTTGCTATCTTTGTGGAAAAGAAGAAGAAGAAGGAGAAGGAGAAGAAAAAAAAGAAAGAAAGAAAGAAAGAAAGAAAGAAAAAGAAAAGATGCTGGGATAAATACAAAAGAATGGAGCTAAATTCCTGTCTCTCACACCAACTTAAACTATAACTGGGTGTGCCAGCACATGCCATCAGCCTCAACATTTGGAGACAGAGTCAGGAAGATCTTTATAAGTTTTAGTCCTATCTGGTCTACATAGTGAGTTCCAGGTCAGCCAAGACTACTAGTGAATCCCTGTCTCAACAAAGCAAAACTCAAACTATGTCAAATATTTGTAAGAGTTAAATGTATAAAACTTGTAGAAGAAAACAGAAAAGTTGGGCTGGGGATACAGCCAGTGGCAGTGTACTTGCTTAGCGCACACAGAGCTCTAGATGTGAGCTAGAAACAACCATAGGGGCCAATGTTAATGATCTTGAATTTGACAATGAATTCTTAGATATGATACCAAAAACACACTGAAAGAAAAAAAATAGGTAAATTCTATTATATCAAAACTAAAAAAAGTGTATCAAAGGATGTTAGGACACAATATCTTAGCAGATCCTCACATTCTGTTAGATGGGACACAGTAGGTCAGCCATTATATGCCTTCATTTAGTTGCTCAATGGGTGCAGAAAGCTAGGGTTGACTAGGAGATTGGGACAAGAAGAAATGGGAAGATGGGAGGTGAAGAACAGCTTTCTCTCTCTCCCTCTCTCTGTTAGTTTGATCCAAAGGTCTTGAAGCGCAAACTCTACCTCTGAGCTACGTCCCCAGCCTGGAATTTTCTTTTTGAGTGATGGGCATTTTGATCGCAGAACATGTGCTATGTGAATTTCATCTGGAAAATAAAAAATCAGCTGGGCAACGGTGGTGCACGCCTTTAATCCCAGCACTCAGGAGGCAGAGGCAGGTGGATTTCTGTGAGTTTGAGGCCAGCCTGACCTACAGAATAAGGTCCAGGACAGGCACCAAAGCTACACAGAGAAACCCTTACTTGAAAAACCAACCAATCAACTAAACAAACAAACAAAAACAAACAAACAAAAAACCCCTAAAACTTAACAACCAAAACACCAAAAAAAAAAAAAAAAAACCCAAACAAAAGCCAAAGGCCTTAGTGGGAGTGAAGGAAACAATCCGAGCTCGATCTGGAGTGAGGGACCCAGAGTGGAGAGGTGTGAGGACAGGAAGGGGAGAGATCACAGGGTGTGAGGGAGGGGGGGAGAGAAACACGACAGAACACAAAGTCTGAGCAATGGAAAATCATGTGTATTTCAGCATAATAACAAGATATGAAACAGCACTCTGCCTTTGATGAGGTAAAATAACCATTTGAACAGCAGATGGTTCTTAAAGCGAAGATAACGGCACTCGGGGGAGGGGCGTCGTTAGACAACAACAATCTGCTAGCCGTAGAACCATACACACTTTTGTCTCAAAAAGTTCAGAACCAGGGCTGCCGGTGTAGTTCAAGGGCAGGATGATAGCATGCTTGAGGCCCAGGTTGGATCCTTAGCTGCAAAATAAGTGGAAGGAGGAGAGAAGGAAGGGAAGAGGGTGGGAGGGAGGGAGATTTGAGAGCTAGCCCACATGTTTTTCCTTTCCCTGTCCATCCGATCACTGCTCTTCCCTGGGCCCCACAGTACCTGTATCTGCATCCTTCAAATTCACCCCAAGAATTAGTTCCTATTTTCCTCTGGCACCCGTTTCAGTGTGACTACGTTTCAGAACCGCACTTCTCAAGGCGCGGTCCATGGGCAGGCAACCCTGATAGCACCTGGGAGTTTGTTAGAAATGCAGATGTTTACAGCTTCCTCTCAGAGTCTCCGTTCTAGTAAAATTCTCAGTGATATATACAGGAAAGTTTGGCAAATTCCTACGTGGAAAGAATTAAGTAGAGAAGTAGCTGAGATCCACCATGGTGCTTGATTTCCTCCATAACCGCTACTTTGCTTTCAGGGTTTTTCCACTTTGGTTTGCTGTAGAGCCCAGTTTGCCTCAGGATCCGGTACTGGGATTAAAAGCAGGCACCATCACACCTGGATGTCAGACTAGGTCCAAAAAATGTTTTTGATAGGATCTATTAATTATATGTGGTTAACAAGTTTCATTGTATTCTCATACATGTATATATTTTGATCATATTTACCCACAGTACCCTGTCTGACCCCTTTCCACTCCTGTTAATCTTTTCAAGTAATCTGTCTTCTATTTTGTTCTTTTTTCTTTTTCCTTCTGATGAGCCAATGAGTTTCTTAGGATTGCTTATAGGAGTAAGGGGTTATGTATGGAGGCCAGGACACCTTATGAGAGGTCACACCACTGAGGAAAATGTCTCTCCCTACCCAACCAACCATTAACCACTTAAAAGTCCTGAGGGAGGAGTGGGCCTGATTGACCTCCTCCATCTCCTTGACAGGATGTTGCTAGGCCTAATTTTGTGCATGTCTTGTGCTGGTAGTCACAGCTGCTGTTCATTGAAGAGTACAACGGTCAGGTCACATGGTAGGTTAGTTTTGCACCCAAGGAAATGAGTTAAAGGGAATGAAGGGGGTTGGGGTGAGGCATAAATTGGCTAAGTGCGTGCTATGCAATCAGAACCATCAGAGTTCAGATCCACAGGACCCAAGTCCAAAGTCAAGGGAAGGTAATGTAAAGCCAGTGCTGTTAACTTAGCCCTGGGAGGCAAGAGGAGCCCTGGGGCTTACTGATCAGTCAGCCTAGCCAAAAGAGCAAGCTTGGGGTTCATTGAGAGCCCCATCTCAAAAGACAAAGGTAGAGAGAAACAGTCACTGAAGACACTCAGTGGATGTCCTCCTCTCGCCCTACACGTTTGTAAACAGGCAGGAATAAGTAAAGACTCAGAGGTGCACCCAAAAGAAGGAAGATTAGATTTCCAACGTGGTTTGTCTTTGTGCTAAGTTTCTCAAATGGAATCAGGATGTGTCTCACCTATCTGAAAGCTGTAGCGAGTGAGCTATTCTCTCCGTCTTCTCTGAGAACATCTTTGTCCTACATACTTGCCACAGCGGCCTTGTCTTTCCTCCCTCGCCCACTCTAAACTCTTCCCTGCTCCGTTTCCCTCTCTATTTAACTTCATGTATCATTTGCACCTATTCCAGAAAGTTCTTCCTCACCGAGTCTAGAGCAGCTCCCTTGTTTTTGGTGCCCTGCCTAGCCTCCACTTTCCACCTCGGGCCGCAACCACAGTTCCGCTCCACTGAGGGGTTTCTGAGCACCTGCCTCTATCTCCTGTGGGTTCAGTCAACCATCACTTAGACTCTCCCCCACAGCTGTGTGGCAGCGGCTGTTACTTGGGCTCTGCACCTTGTTTTCTCACCCACAGATGGGGACTGAGCCTCACATCTCACAGCCTTCTTATAAGAAGAATCCACGAGATGGGGGGGGGGGGCGGATTTTAATAAGAGGACTCTCAGGAATTTCCTGTCTTATAGCGATAAATGTGAGGTTAAACACTCAAGTTGCTGGCCTGTCCCAGGTCAGGCAGTGGTAACACAGACAGGAGGAAAATATTTCTTGTCTTTTTCTGCGTCTTGTTTGTATTTCCCAGGGTTCTGTCCTCCTTCCTCTGTTCTCCTTAGCTTGACTTAGTCTCTACTCTCAGCCTTAGTCTTGTGCCTCAGCTTCTAGCTACTTTCAGGAATTGCCTCTTGTCGATCGCACTGATATCATAAAGATCCAGAGGAGCTGACCTCTGTTCCTATCTTTGACCGTCCTGTCTGCTGTATGACTTCCTTCCTCTTTTTCTTTCTCTCTTTCTCGCTCATTTCTTCAGAATTATTTGTTGCTAGCCAGTGCACATTTTACTTGTTTAGAGCTTATCTTCCCTGCCAAGATGTTAATTCCTCAAGAAGAGAAAGTTTTGCTGACGCTGACTTAGGTCCTGATGTAGCTCCCGAAACTACATTCCGTAGGCATTTTAGAACGGTTCTCCAATGACTTAATGAACCTTCCTTTCCTCTTATTTCTGTTTTCAATTAATCTAGTTAGTTCTGTCTTGATTTTTCTTGAGTTACTGACAGGTTTAGGCAACTGATTTTTTTTTGTTGTTGTTGTTTGCTTTTCAGCCTCTTGCTGGCTAATGAAATTTTGGCAAGTTATTTAAATGATCATAATCTCAATTTCTTGTGTTAACATGATGCTATTAATAGAATAAATCCACATATATGCCATAAGACTTCTAAACATAATGCATGTTTAATATGTAGCCCATTTCTGGAGCAAAATAAATGCTAGCTTTTTTTTTTTTTTCTTCCAGTGAACTCCCTCAGAGTTAGGTCTGAGTTAGCAACCTTTGGTCACTTTTCCTAGGGCACTTCAGCCCAGATGGACACCCTGTGACTTCTCAAACCTGATGTGAGCCTTCCTGCTCTCGTAACAGACAGCAGGGAGAAGAAGCAGGCTCAGTCAGTCTGGTCCCAACTGCAGTGCTGGGTTTTCAGTATTTGAATGAAGAGTGAAGTTCAGAAAAAATAATAAATCCCCCTGAAGATACATAGTATCACAGAGTCTAAAATGTAGAAGACTCCCCTCAAACTTATTTTTGTACCACAACATGCTGGTCACAAACAGTCCTGACTTACAAAGCCTCATTTTCCATGCCCCAGGAAACACTTTCCTTCCAGTCAGCCCCATCTGAAATGTTTGCCCTAACTTAGCGGCGCCACAGTCTGAGGGCAGCAGTTTGCTATAAATCACCTCAAACTTCCTCGGTCTCTGAACAGAGACCCAGGCAGTCAGCCTGATCTAGATGACTTAGATCTTGAGCAAGCTGTCCCTAAGAAGGGACTCGATCAGCGACAATATCAGTGTCCACAGACATTTACCTGAGCCAAGGCAGAAGACAAGTGGGAACAGCCAGATGATCTGACGGGCGGAGTCAGGCACCGGAGCCCTTGAGACAGCCATTCTTTCACAAGCTTGTCTCTGAGACTTCCCTTTCCTCTAGTGATGCGAGCTCTTCCTCTGCGTTAGCAAGTCTTTGGTTATTGATCTTTACCGTCACACATTGCTCATAGAAATAGCTTGTATAAGTTAAGACTCCTAGTAATGAGGGATAAGGAACCTGAACTGGCCATCTCCTGTAACCAGACAAGACTTCCAGTGAAGGGATTGGAACATCAATTCAGCCACAAACCTTTGACCTACAATTTCCTGTCTACAGGCTGTGATGAAGTAAAGGTGGTGCAGATGGTGGGAGTGGCCACCAATGACTGGACCAGCTTCAGACCCACACTACTCAGAGGGAGCCCATGCCTGACAGTGCCCGGAGAGCCAGGAACCAGAGGTTGGATGGCCCGCCCCCTAAAAACAATTAGGCTGAACTCAAGGAATCCTGTGGAAGATGGGGCGGGGAGGGGGGAGGAATGCAGGCGTCAGAGGGCTCAAGAACACCCCAAGAAAATCTAGAGTCAACTAACCTGGGCTCATAGCATCTCACAGAGACTGAAGTGACAATCAGGGAGCCTGCATGGTACTGACCTAGACCTATGTTGTGGTTCTATAACATATGACAAATATGTTACGGTTGTGTAGCTTTGTGTTTTTGTGGGACTCCTGACAGTGAGAGTGGGGACTGTCTCTGACTCTTTTGCCTGCTCTTGGAATTCCTTTTCTCTTACTGGGTTACATAGTTTAGTCTTAATACGAGAGGAGGTGCCTAGTCTTGTTGCAGCTTTATATACCATGTTGATGTCCCTGGGAGGCCTGCTCTTTTCTGAAGGGAATTGGAGGAGGAGTGTGTGTGTGTGGGGGGGCGGGTTGGGAGGGAAGGAAGGAGGGGAACTGTGGTCGAGATGTAATAGATAAGAGAATAAATTTAAAAAATACCTTGCATAATTTTAACTTGAAAAAGTTTAGGGAAACTTGTATCATGAGCTATCTGTGCATTTGAGAAAATGTTCTCCTTGTTGTCTGTAATGTCAGTCAGATCCTGCTGGCTCATAGCGTTGCTCAGGTCCTTTATTTATGGACTTCCTGTTGTTCTGACCCCAGAAGATTCATATGCTGGAGGCTTGGTCTTCAGTGTGATGATGCAGAGGGGTGGTGGGACCTCTGAGAAGTGGGTCCTTGTGGGAGACTATTAGGTCATTGATTGTGCTTTGGCAGTGGGCTTTTCAGGTATGCAAATGCATCACTCGTGCACTGGTAGGTAACTCCAACGAACTAATCTAGACTTTATGTGGGCTGTTTCTTTGTTTTGTTGTCAATGATCAATCTGGGGTGAAGAGAGATACTTGTTTAAATCTCCCCAGAAAAAAAAGTCACAATTGATGCCTGAACTGGGACAAACAGAACAAAGAGGAATCTGAGAGCAGAAGTTGCCTACTTCCTTGCTATGGGTGAGACCCATGCAATAATGACGGATCCAGCTGTGGGCGGAGCATCCATGGGGCAATCTTGATATGATTACTCTTCCCTGGTGGTATGGGACAGTGTGCCTCCGTGCTGTAGTGGCAGTTGTGTGATATAAATAAAACTGATATGAATAAAATTGAAACATCTTTGAGGGGAAACCCAGGGTGACTATCTTCCTCTGTGTGTGTGGTAAGGTTGGCATACCCCTTATGTATACGGTCTGTTGCTCAAGTACAGGAATGCCCCCTAAGGTGACTGATGGACTAAAGAACCCATTGTAATCCCTGAAATGACACACAGGGCATGTGATTATAAGCAAGTCATGGAAGTAGACATTTGGTCTCTGCCGGGTCCATAAGAGATGTAACTGAAGCTAAGGAATTGTCAACAGAAGGGAGGAATTCCAAAAGAAGAGACCCATGAAGGTTGTCCTCCACACTGCCTTCTGATTTGACAGGAAAGGAGGGAAAAGAAGGATGCTTTCCTATTCTGTTTTTCCTTTCAGTTAGTGAAAGAGAGTTCATTAGACCTGGGCTAGAAACCTCTTCCTGGAACCCAAAAATCTTGATCCGTGAGAAGGATCAGACAGTGAACAATGAGAGATGAAGTAGAACTGATAGACAATGTCCTTCTGGCCTGACTTACAATAGAGAAGATGGAAGAATCCACGACTCAGTATGCAGATGGAAGCCTGAATAATTCCTCAGTCCAGAAAATGAACTACTCAGGGGGATATTTGGCTTTGAAACTCTCTCAGCTCGGGAGAGACCTTTAAATAAGCAATAGAAGAACTTTTCAAAGCCTGACTTGGGAGGCCACAGGACGTGGCGGGAGGAAGATGGGATCCGCTTGCCATTTTGGAAGTGAGAAATTGAGTGGTTTTCCTTTTCAGACACAGGCTGCCTAGTTTGAGGTAATGTAAGGGAAACTATTCCCAATGAACTGGCTCGTATGAATGATTAGGCATGCTTGACTATCACTGGCTGCGATCTCTGTGAATATAAGACATAGAAGACAATAAAGGAATGACAGGCATTGTCAAGAGACCTGTGTATGCAAGACAAGGTGTTTGATGCCCAGGCGAGCAAGCCAGATGGGACTTTGTTCATCGGAGAGAGGAAGACATTGACTCAGCAGGCACCCTGGGACTAGTATAGGGCAAGTGGCTTTGTTGAGTCTGATGTTGCTTTATGATCTTTACAAAATTAGACAGGCCATATGGATCTGACTACAAATTGTGTCTGTATGGTTGCTGAGGTATTTAGGAAGGGAATAGAAAAAGGGAAATCTGGGCTGGTAAAAGGTGCTTACTGCCAAGCCTAAAGGCCCGAGTCTATTCTTGGTACCCACATAGTAGGAGGAGAGAAATGACTCCTGAAAGTTGTCTTCTGTACTTCATCCTCCAAACACAATGTCACAGCATCCACCTCCATAAACAAATAAATAAATGTAATTTTAAAAAAGAAAGAGAGAAAAGCAGGTAATGGGGTCTGTTGCCTCAAAGTAAATATAGACAAGTACTGTTTTTGGGAAGGCTTTAAATCCCAAGTAATGGTTCACAAAATGGGGGAAGGAAGGGAGGAAGAAAGGGAAGAAGAAAGGAAGGAAGGGAGGGAGGAAGGAGTGTACGGCAGATCAATGCAAGTGGAAAAGCTTGTCTTAGGACTGTGCCGTTATCCCCCAGTATACTGTGTGCATTTTTCCCCTGCAGAAAAGGGTACTGGGAGTAGAGATTGTTCAGGATGGAGTTCTGTTAGAAGACAGGGCTGACTGATGGAGGCGGAGGCCAAGGAAGCAGCCTGAAGCCTGTTTGATCCAGGGAGCAGGCTCAATTAGCGGGTGTGATGGATTACAGCACTGATCTTTCACTTGTCCCTGGGCAGAGCATCATGAACCAGACCCATGGAGCCTATCAAGGTTGGGGAGATGAGTAGTTCCCCAGGATGAGATACTGGGTGACATATGGAATATAATGATTATGGATGATAAATATCTAAATAATGTGGTGCCCCCATTCATATACCTAAATTGTGTTCTGAAAAACAAAACAGTTGACACAAATGTGGGATACTTTTCATGCTATATCTCTAACTTTAAAAATATCCCTTTAGATTGAATTCCAAAACCAATTAGCATTTGTTTAGAAGAGACAGCAATGGACCTTTAGAGGCCCTGCCCACCCTCTCTAAAAGGATTCGTTATGTAACGTTAAACTTTGTGTATCTTACGGATTTGGAAAAGCATCTGGAAGAACAGTAAAAATAGTAGTTGAAAAGTTTGAAGGAATGCACCCTGTGTGGGCAGAGAAAAGGCACTTCTAGGAACACAAAGTTGTTGAGTTAAAGGAATGTGAGTGCCTGGAGTAGATTACCTCTTGAACGATTATTGGCCAGGGAGGGCCATGAGGACCCCATAAAGTATGTTATTGTCACTGCTGTTATCTACATGTTAGAACTAGATGCTAAGTTTCTACAACTGAAGACACTGTATGCTTTAGTTGCAGGACGTTAAGAAATCAAATTTGGAATAGATTGGAAGCTCATTTCATGTTGGTAAGCTTTTGTAGTGCTTGAAGGAACTATAGCAGGATTGTTGAGGAGAATTGTGACCAACAGTCTTGCTTGGCTATGGACCTTGTGTGTGATAATTGACACATCAGTCAGCATAGGCCATTGGTTCAACAGTGGCACAGCTGATGTAGGCGCAACCAACTGCTTTCTGCTTGAATTTGAGGCCCACCTCACAGGATGGAACTCATAGTTGGTACTGTAAACGAGGGTAAAATCTGTGGCTGAGAGATTATAGGATTGAGGGAGGCCACTGTTACTGTTTTGTGAAATAGGTATTATGTACCTCTTAATTTGCCTTCTAAATATTTATGCTCATACCCATACATTACTGCAGAATTTCCTTTTTCCCCTAGGTAGCAATTACTGCAGAAGTTGAAAACCAGTCAAAATACTGAGAAGAAGTGGCTTTGGCTGTGGACACTGTGCCACAGCACTCAGCCATAAACAGAAGGGACTATCCAAACACTATTATCACTCTCTTAAGAAACACTGTAGAAGAGAGGGGAGAAAGAATGTAGCAGCTGGAGGGAGGGGTGGAGTTGTCATATAGTTGTTTCCTTTGAATTGAAACATTTCTTCCTGGAGGGAGGGGGAAGGCTCACGAGACTCAGGAAACTCATCAAGAAGATGAGTAACTTTCAAGGCTTAGGAAGCTCATAAAAACTTTTACCACCCAGGAAACCCATCACCAGGTTTACAGAAGCCGCAAACAGCTGTGGTAGGAAAGGAGACTCCTAAGTGGAGCTTCCTGCAAGCTGTTCAGGGGACTTTAGGGATGCAGGCTTCAGGAGTTGTCAGCTGTGCCTGGGTGGGCTTTTCAGAGATGTGACCATCTGCCCTTGAGTCACCTATGCTGATGTAAGTAAGCCATCACCTGTGCAGCTGAAGGTATTCCCAGTAAATTCATTGCCTTTGTTTATTACCATTGCACTATCTGGTTGCACTGTTGCACATCTGGAAGGGACTTTTTTTGCATATCTCCCCAGGAAGTGTCACACAACCCTTGGATAGTGTAGAAGTATACTCATGGATTTGATCTATTTCAGTGAGTGTATGTAAAGCCAAA